ATTTTGGCACAAAAGTATGTTGTTAGAACAGAATCGAACATAGACATCTTTGATGCCTTAATATGTGCTTGCTTATGAAAAAACTAATCTCCTTAGGTTTTCGAACAAATACACCTTATTCTCTTGGCGATGGTCATCTGTTTGTTGTATCATACACCAACGATCTGGTTAACATGAGTTTGCTATTGTTGGTGTGCAGATGCATGAATTATCTATGAAACTTGCGTTGCAAAAATCCCAAAATGCAGAACTCAGAAGTCAATTTGAAGGTCAGTGATAAATAAATCAAAACTTTAGTTATCAACTTATCAGTATTGCTCAGATTAGTAGAATGTGTGCGCTAAATGCTACATCCAATGCCCCTGCACCTGTTGTATATTTGGAAACCATACTGCATGACTGCGTATGTCACTATAATTGTTCAATTGAGCTTCTCTTTCCCCAAAGCTGTTATTTAAACTATTGTTTTTTAATGTCAATGATAATTTCTTTATGCATTGTACTAGAAAAATGTTATTACATCTTGGATTTTATATTGTCAGGTCATTCCCCATTCATTCTTTTTGTGTTTCTACGTACAGGGTTGCACAAACATATGGAGGGGCTCACAAATGATGTTGAAAGATCAAATGAAATGGTTTTCTTTCTTCTCTCGACTTTCGTCGTTTTTTGGTTTACAGAGATCGTACATCATCCTAGCTTCATAGATGCACAATTTAAACTTTTCTGTTTTGTTTCGATATTGCGCCAAATTTGCTGCCATTTTATCGATCACAGCTTAAATTAAGACCACTCGTACGGATTACATCCAATCCTTTAGATGATTACCCTGCCCTTCCTGTATTATTCAGTTTAGTTTGATATTACGAGTCCTATTATTCGTTCCTCGATTCTGTGATCTTAGAGTAGTTGTCAATCAGATTTGGTTTATATATTTGAACTAATGGTGTATGATCAAGAGAAATATATCCGATGTGACGATGTCTAGCGAATTTGTTACTCAATGAGAGTCAGAATTTAAAGCGTCTGCCATTGCAGGTGCGTATCACGCAAGAGCAGCTAGAGGAGAAAGACCGTGAAATCAAACGGTTAAAGCAGGAGCTGGAGCAGAAGAGCTTGATAGGGAAGGAGAAGGCAGATCCAGCTTCTGACGCTAAGAAAGCTAGCGACGATGATGAGATGGTACCTGGAGAAGTCGACAGCTGAAGTAAGAACAAGATAATTGTAGGACACAATCTTCGTTTACAATCCTCATTTTGTATGTACATTAACGTTCGAGTTTTTTTTTTCGCTCAGAACATTTTTGTTATGTAAAAGTAACTTGTGAAACTTAGGCCGCCGGAATTGAGGTTAAAGTTCTTAATGCTTGACGTGCAGTTGCATGGCTTCATATCATTCATTCATACAAAACGGAATCGTTCTTGTTTTATTACTTAAATTGAATTCCTGCATGCCACCCCTCTCTACTGCGGGAGAATGACTTGCATGAAACGATAACGTCAAATTGGGTTATTGCCCAAATTTATCATGCCTCGTCATGAAAAACATTAAAACGGTTTACTCTACTGCTACTTTGGCTTCCTGTTTTTAGTATGGAACCACACCTTTGCATTAACAGGTCTTCTCACGTGTGACGATATTTTAGCAAAATACGTGAATATTTATGAATAACACGAACACTTGTCGTCCTTAAAAATTTTCATATATTGAACAACCAACTTTAATGCCACATAAAAAAATTTGAACTGCCATCACAAAATCAATTCGCAATATAAACGTAAATATGCAAGAACTTTACCATTTTAATTCGTGACAACACCAGCTAGTCTGGATTTGAGACAGGTTGATAGAGGCAACGCATGTGAAGGCGTGTTGATGAGGTGTTAAGCGCAGCTGTGGGCGGTGGGATATTGGCCGTGGGAGGTCCAGTAATCCGGAAAGCTCATGGCTCATGCATGCGGACAACGAAGCTCTTGGGATGCCAAGTGTAGGCTGAGGTGTCTGTGTGCGTGGCACTCAGTGTTCGCCATGCACGGAAGCGGTCGAGAATTTGAGAGCGATGTCACTTCCCTGTCTAATCTTCATCCCAGCTAGCAGACAATAGACACCTACTTGCCTACTTAATTAGTTGAGACATTTTGGATGTGGTTTCTACCTATCAATATTTTCTGACTGAAATTTTGTTAATATTTAATTTTTTATTGAAGTTACTGAAATTAATGTGATAATGTATTTCTATGTAGGTTACTATATTTTTTAAATTAAAAATTATAATTATTTGTATTAAAGTGATTTTAAATATAAAAAAAACCCATAATTTGTGGATTAAAATTGTTAAAATATAAATTATATTCTTCAATATATTGTGTGTGTGTATATATGTATGTATATAAACATGGGTACATTCATCAAATTTAACAAAAAAATTATTGTACCAAAATATGGGTACATTCTTCAAAACCACACAAAAAATAATAGATATTAGGCTTAATAACATTAGTAAATTTCTTTGATTAAACTTGACATTGATACATTCTCAAATCAAGAAAAAGAATGTACCCATATAAGTATAAAAATGGATTGAAAAAAATTGAAATTGAATAGATTTTATATAAAAAAAAAGGTACATTTTACTACAACAAATTGGTATATTTAAAAATGAGTACATTTTAAGATTAAAAAAATTGAAAAATTAAATGAATGAGTATATATAAGATTAAAAAATTGGAAACCTTTTTATAAAAAAAAATTAAGGGGTACAAACTTATTCTATTTTCTTTTGGAAATGTTTTGAATTGAAAATTAGGTAGGAGTTTAATTGTGAGTATTAAAATCCTAAATCAATTATTAATTTTTAGTTTAAAAATTATGTAAATGACATCTAAATTCATTATTGCATTAATGTTAGGGACCTTGATCAAAATCTGAAAACTAATAAGGTTTCAATAAAAAAACATTAGTAACTAAGTACTGGATACTAATTTTTCCTAATTAGTTTGTTGTTTCTTGTGTTGGAGTGTGGTAGTTCATCATCTGGATCCAACCTTTTGGTTTGATTAAGATCCAGATTATTTGTTGCTCCCCTCTCTTTGTTTTCTAAAGAAAATTAAGCAAGATCCCATAACATTGAAACTTTAATTTGGAGGAATCATCTGGTCGGAAATGGCCGGAGTAAATTAGAAGCTGAGGGATTTAACATATAGCTAGAAAAGTGAGATAGACCCAGAAAATGCTAAAAATAAGGAACAACAAACAATGGTAATCTTAGGAAAACTAAATTTGTAAACACAATTTTAAAAATTAAACAACACGAAAATTAATGATTGATTTATTACTTAAAGCATAGATAACCGTGCTGCTTATTCCTAATATTGTGTCATGAAATTACTTTATATCACAACCCTATCCCATGCCACTACTCTCTTCATGGTTACGCTTACCACTTACGAGGGTTCATAACTTGTTCTATATTTTTGTTGCATCCCATCCCACTCCTATATCTTTTTCTTTTACCAAAATTACCTCTTACTGTTCATTACGGTTGGTCTCTGAACTATGGTTGAATTGTAGTTTTAATCCTTGAACTAACAATCCATTAAATTTGGTCCCTAAACTTAATAAAATGTGGAACATTGGTCCTCTGATATCAATTTTGTTAGATTTTCCGTTAGAGTGCTTGAGTGGCAGGTTTAAGGGGCCCACACTTAAATAATTCAATGCTACTTGGATTAGAAATATTTATAATAAAAAAATTAGGAAAGAAAAAATTTAAAAAACAAAAATTCAATAAACTCACCCGCACTTCACCAACTCTTGCAGTCCACCCCTTCATCTTTGAGACTTTGACCAACTCCCCAGCCTACCTCCCATCTCCATCTCCCAATCCCTACAACCCAGCCGATCCCCAACCCGTAGCTCACAAAGTTCCGATCTATGTGCGGTGAGGGTTTCGATTGTAGGTGGTGGGAACTAGAGATTGAGTTGTCAAGGCAGCGTGGAGTAAGGTGCTGTAAAGATGGAGGTCATTGTGTGAAGTAGTTTGGAAAGGAAGATTGTGTTCTAAATTTAGATTTGAACTTTTCTATGGTTCGGTTGTTGGGAGAGTGCTACAGTGACGACTGAGTTTGGAGAAAGAGGTGGGTAGAAGGCCGATAGAAGAGAGAAAATTAAACTATTTTTATTTTATGTATTTTCTTTTTCCTTCCTGTGCGTTTGTATTTTTTTTATAAATTTTTAGCCCACATGGCATCCACATCAACAAAAATGTGAAGCCCACAAATACCACATCATGATAGTAATGGAAAATCTCACAGTGTTAGTACCCAAGGACTAATGCTTCACATTTTGTCAAGTTGAATGACTAAAACTAATAGAATTTTAGTTTAGGAACCAAAGCTACAATTCAATCAAAGTTAAGGAACATTTTCCCCAATTTACTTTTTTTTATTATTTCTTACCAACCTAATAAAAATGATAAATGACAAGTGTCTCATCTTGGTAGAATTTTCATTTTTTTCAGCTTCTTATACATACATACATACATACATACATACATATATATATATATATATATAATTTCTGACCCTGGCATTAAATATATCAAAAAAAAAAAAACAACTGATAAGTTAAACAAGAGTACGAATTCATTGTAGCCTTTTCATATTAACCCTAACAAAAATAACTCACCAAACAAATTACATTAACGAAGCTTTCTTAATTTCCTTCTATTTTTGACCGGAAACCTAACCCTAATTATGTAGTAGTACAAATGATTCATCCTTGTACATTTTCATCACTCATTCTTTGGCAAATCAGAAACTTTTTTATCTCTCTCTTGGTCTAAAGTAAATCACAAACCTTAACTAATTAAAAGTGTCTTCACACACACACCAACCGCTTTACAAATCATATCTCTATATAACCCCCCACTCCCTATTACCGAGTTCTACTCACCAAGCTACCACAATCTCTCTCACTCCTTATCTCTAAGCTAGGCTTCCATGGCTCCAAGCCTAACAAAGAATGCCCTAGACGTAATGGGCCTTGCAGTGGATGACACATCATCACAACTCCCAATAACTCTCCATGGATCCAACCTTCTCGCTAATGGCCACCCAATCCTCACTGAAGTCCCTCTCAGCGTCACAGCAACCCTGTCACCTTTTAACAAGACCAAGCCCTCTGGCTGCTTCCTGGGATTCGACGCGGACGAGCCCAAGAGCCGCCACGTGGTACACATCGGAAAACTCATCGGCATCAGGTTCATGAGCATATTCCGGTTCAAGGTCTGGTGGTCCACCCACTGGACAGGAACCACCGGAAACGACGTGGAGCACGAGACCCAGATGATGCTCTTGGACAAAAACGACTCCGGGCGACCCTACGTTGTGATTCTTCCACTCCTGGAAGGACCCTTCAGAGCCTCTCTCCAACCGAGTCATGCAAACGACGACTATGTGGACATGTGCGTGGAAAGCGGCTCGAAACGTGTCAGCGGCTCGAGCTTTAGAAGCTGCTTGTACATGCACGTCGGCGATGACCCTTATAGTTTGGTCCACGAGTCAATGAAGGTGGTGAGGGCCCACTTGGGGACGTTCAAGCTCCTAGAGGAGAAAGATGTACCAAAAATAGTTGACAAGCTTGGGTGGTGTACATGGGATGCGTTCTATCTTATGGTGCACCCCAGAGGGGTGTGGGAAGGTGTGAAGGGCCTAGTGGAAGGTGGGTGCCCTCCAGGACTAGTCCTCATCGACGACGGATGGCAATCGGTCTGCCACGACGAGGACCCGGTGGAGGGGCAAGAAAGCATGACCAGGATATCAGCCGGGGAACAAATGCCAGGCAGGCTGATTAGTTTTCATGAGAATTATAAGTTTAAGGACTATGAGGGTGCGTCTAGCAAGGGCATGGGTGGCTTTATAAAGGATTTGAAGGAGGAGTTTGGGAGTGTGGAGCATGTGTATGTGTGGCATGCGCTTTGTGGATATTGGGGTGGGATTAGGCCAAGGACTAATAGTCCAGGGATGCCTGAAGAGTGCAGGGTGATTAATCCTAAGTTGTCTCCGGGATTGGAGAGGGCAATGGAGGACATGGCGGTGGACAAAATTGTGAGGAATGGAGTAGGGTTGGTTCTGCCGGAGGTGGCGCACAAGTTGTATGAGGGGATGCACTCTTATCTTCAGTCGGCGGGGATCGATGGTGTTAAGGTTGATGTCATACACGTAAGTTCGTTCTCGAAATTAAGCTCTTTTTATGCTTTTTCACCTTTGAAAAACGTCACAAATTATTTTGCTTACGTAGTACGAGTTTGGACACATGTGCACCGTTTTGAACTTTTCATTACCATACTGTAATATTATTTGGCTCTATAATATATTTTATTGGTTCAAATTATGGAATTGTTATTTGTACTTGGACATTAATTATTTGGATAGCGTGAATCTCATAATGGAGAGATTTTTCAGTGTGACCGGTATACATGGTGGTATACCATGTGTTACTAAACAAATTGTGAGATATGTGTGCTAAAAAATAAAATTTCACATCATTCCTATTAAAACAAGTGGTGTACCACTGTGTTCCCATCACAACTAAAAATTTCTCGTCGTAATGGTCTATGTATGATGGTTTGAAACAATGTTTTATGACATCTTTGTTCGTAGAGATCATTAACTCAATTCACATTATCAGTACGACTAATCATTTTTGTCGACTAAAATTCTATCGGGCATGTAGTTTTTTCTATTAGTATTTTATCCTTCGCAAAACAAGGAAACAAAAAGAAAAAGCTATCATTGTCATATTTCAAAGGTGAGTTTGCATATTAAATCGGGAGATATACTGTTGGATTTAATTTCTATTTCATGCCATGGTGCAGTTGCTTGAGATGTTATGCGAGGATTTTGGGGGTCGGGTTGAGCTGGCGAAAGCCTACTACAAGGCACTGACTGCTTCCATGAGGAAGCATTTCAATGGCAATGGGGTGATTGCTAGCATGCAGCACTGCAATGACTTTATGTACCTCGGAACCGAGGCCATAGCCCTTGGACGTGTTGGTATGTAGACTATATATTCCGAGCAAGTATTTTGCATTCGAATTTCTTTTTTGCGATTTACATTACGAACTTATAAGTTACCACTAATTTCCACCATAATCTTTTATTTGAGCCAATTATCCGTTTCAACTTTTACAAGTAGCCAATTATCTCCCCACTGTCAAATTTTCAAATTTTTCATCAACTGACAGGGTGATTGATATACGTCCAGGGAACAATTTGTAGAAAACCTCAATAGTTTTTTTATTTGAAGAATTTGCATTCTCTTATCAGTTATTTGCAGGTCTAACCTATTTCTTCGCATTGATACAAATGTCATAGGAGATGATTTTTGGTCTGAGACGACAGCGGAAGCAGATGGAACATATTGGCTGCAAGGGTGTCACATGGTGCACTGCGCCTACAATAGCCTTTGGATGGGCAACATCATACAGCCAGATTGGGACATGTTTCAGTCTACTCACCCTTGTGCTGAATTCCATGCTGCATCAAGAGCTATATCCGGAGGACCAATCTACATTAGTGACTCTGTCGGAAAGCACAACTTCAAGCTTCTTAAGAGCATGGTGCTGCCTGATGGGTCCGTACTGCGATGTCAACACTATGCCCTTCCTGCTGGGGATTGCCTATTTGAAGACCCTTTGCATGATGGCAAAACAATGCTCAAAATATGGAACCTCAACAAAGTAAGAAACTCTTTAAAAAGCACGGGAAGTGATTTTGGCACTCTTTTTCTCGCTCTACATGGTGTTTGTTTATTGTTTGCATTTGGAACATAAATACCTGCAGAGAGAAGCTAGCGTTGGTCATACGAGAGAAATTGAGTGCATAAATTATTTCTCTAACAGAGAAAACTAGCGTCGGTTATCAAGTACCTGCTTAACTCCATTACAACTGTTAATGGTAGAACATGTGTGACTTAAACTGTTATTGGTTGTGAGTCTCGTGAATGGGCTCCAACCCCGTACCAACGTGATGACCACTGATGCTAGCTTTTCTCCTTTCAAAGTGTAGTAATGTTTGGTAAGCTAGCTAGCTAGCAATAACCCTAAATATTGCTTGAACTGTAAGATAGGGTTTAAAAAGATGCCCTTTTTAGTTTTAGTGCTAACTCAATGTTTTTCGACATGTACTTGCACCAGTGTACTGGAGTTTTGGGTGCTTTTAATTGTCAAGGCGGAGGATGGTGCTCGAAATCCAGGCGGAACAAAATTTTCCCCGACTGCTCGAAGTCTGTGACTTGTTTTGCTAGTCCAAAAGACGTGGAATGGAATCAAGGGAAGAACCCCATTTCAGTACAAGGAGTGACCATATTTGCTGTGTACACGTTCCAGCAGAACAAGCTGAAGCTCTTGAAGCCATCAGAGAAGGTAGAGATTCCACTTGAGCCTTTTAGTTTTGAGCTCCTCACTGTTTCTCCGGTGAGGGTCTTGCGGAAGAAACTGATCCAATTTGCTCCGATTGGATTGGTCAACATGCTCAACACTGGCGGTGCAATTGATTCAGTAGAAGTTGAGGAGCAGGAGGGGAACCCTAGTTTGGTGAGAATTGGAGTGATGGGTTGTGGAGAAATGAGAATGTTTGCTTCAGAAAGGCCAACTGCTTGTGAGATCGATGGAGATGGAGTGAAGTTTGATTATTTTGATAAGATGGTCAGAGTCCAAGTGCCATGGCTTACTTCTTCAAGATCAGTTCTAGTTGACTACTTGTTTTGATCAAATGTAAAGAATTTGATCCTTGTTACTACTTGCTAGCAATTTCAATCTGTAATTCAATCGTGTTTTTTATTTCAGCAAACAGTGTGATATGATATGCCAGATTGGTAAGTGATCATGAACTTAGTGGATTTTATACAAGAAGTATGTTTTAAATTAATAATTTGTTATGGAAAATGCAACGAAGACTATGTTTTTAAATTATATTTTATGAATTATATGATAATTATATATTATGGATTATGATTGAATTCTTTCTTTAATATTTAAATAAGGAATCAACATATGTACGTAGTGTTTAAAATATTTATGAAATTATTGATAATCAAGGGTTGATATGAAAAGAGGTGAAATACAAATTTTATTATATATTGGTGATATATAAGAAAATTAGTGAATACCGACAACATTTATCAATTCACTACATAAATTTTGTTAGAATCTATTGCAGATTTCGAATTTTGGATTTTTTTTTGACAATTTTTTCTCTAATTTCGAGTAAAACTGAATGAGTTGATCTGATCCCTACTTCATCACAAATTTCCATAATTTCCTTCAAAGATAATCACTATTAATATCAATATTTTCATAAATTTGCATATCGATATATCTGTCTATATCATAGCTTTTTCAGAAGGGAATTGTTATTAGTACTCCAAAAATTTCATTCTACACTCCAAACTTTCTATATTAGGAAAAAAAAATACACTCGTGAGGAGTGTAGAATGAGATTTTTGGAGTGCCAATAACACTTCCCTTTTCAAAATTTTGAATCATAACTTGCCAACAGGATCCTCTTCGTATCTTTTGGTGAGGATTCCGAAGAGGATTCTAGAGATCTGTAAATTGTGTTCTTCATCGTACATCATAGGGTCATTTTTTGTCAGGTATTGATTGTATTTAATTTTAAATAAAAATATTTAAAATAATTTATGACTGTACCATGTACGATGAACGAATATGATTTACGGATCTCTAAGATTCTCACAAAGAGGATCCGGATTCCATAACTTGTTTCACAATTCTCTTAGTTTTACAAAAAAGTAATAAATAAACAAAAAATATCAAACTTTAGTATTGAGCTTATCTAAAAGAAATTTCGTTTGGGCTTTACCCACCCGCAATCCAACCCAAAAGAGAAAGGAAACATATCAGGAACAGTGGCGGAATCAGCCTCTGCGGCTCCGCTTCAAACGCTGGTCATTTCTCCGTAGGCATCTCCGTCGGGCCACTAAGCACTACAAAATCAGCTGTTTGGATTCTCAGAAAACATGACGGAAGGCACCGGAAAATCTCAGAGAAAATTCCTAGCACGATGAAGACGACGGAGTTCATGGATAAGCAGATCATGGAACTCTCTCGGTCCCACTCCGAGGATTTCTCTCAACTTTCGTACCCTCAACAATTCGATAACGACGACAAGGACGACGACGACGACTCCGTTTCCAGCTTTCAGTTCCGCCCCGCACGACGTGTCGCCTCGCAGGAGCCGAGCATTTCCGCTCTCGAGGTTTGTGCATTTCAAATTTCAGCTAAAGCTTTAACCTTTCTGTGTTTGGTAAATTTGGGAAGTTGAATTTTAACTGTAATTAGGGTTTTGTAAGGAGTTTATTAGTTCAATTTTGTGTTATTAAATCGAATTAAATTCGGTTTAATGTAAATTGATCTGGTAATTTTAAGCTACCAAAGAAAAAAAATTGGAAATTTGAAGTGATATGCTGTTGAATTTTGGAAGTTATATGTCTCGATTCGTGTTCGTGATTGTTGAAGAGTTTCAAGTGATTGCTTGCTTCTGTTATGAATCACAGAGTGGCAGTTCTATGGACTACCTTAACCTTGCAAAATCTGGAAGCAAGTATGTTGTCCAGGCTTGCGAGGATTCGGCACTGATTTCGGTGATTGAGCGAAAGATGAACCAGCATTTTGGCAATCTGTTGCACGCGGTGGAGGGTCTCAGTGCACGAATTTCCCAGCTGGAGACTCGATTACGCCGGCTGGGGAATTCTGTTGACGACTTCAAGGATTCTACTGAAATCAACCATGGGAAGGCTGATGGGAAACTGAGGCAGCTAGAGAATATGCTAAGAGAGGTATTGTGAAATTATCGGTTTTTCCATTTAACCGGTCAATGTATGTTGCATTGTTCAATGAGTAAAACTTAGAGGATGGATAACTTGGGTGGTACAAATTAGGTCCTAGATGCACAGAATTGATATTGATGGCAAATTTATTAGGTCGAAGTTTTTATTTAGCAGGTTCATAGCCAGATAGAATTTCATGGCAATTATCTGATTTAAATATGCTTGTGAGCTCGACTTTTGTAACACAAGGCGCAATGTACTTAAGTGACCGTGATTCTATTTACTGGAGCACCAACTTTGACCACAGTGTTCAAGTAGTCTTTGGATTTTTGATTTGAACTGTGAGATGTTAATAATTAAAATCATGTTGAAGGCGGTAGGAACTAGGTTTAAGTCTTGTTGCAAGTGATAAACAAAAAAAAGGAAAAATAGTAGTGTGCGGGAAATTCTGTAATACCTGCCAACAGCTTCTTGACATGGTTCGTGTTGCTTGTAAATAAACTGCAGGTTGACAGTGGCATGCAGAATTTGAGAGATAAACAAGAGATAACAGAGGCTCGGTTGGAGCTTGCAAAGCTTCAAATGTTAAAGGGTCAGCAGCAATCGGAAAACCAAGCGAGCAATGTACAAAAAGTTTCATCTCCAGGAGTACAATCATCCGCTCCTCAGCAAAGCTACCAACTGCATTCAGTTCAGGCCCCCACCCTACAAGTTCCTTCTCTTCCTACTAATGATCCCGGAACTCTACCTCATCAGAATTTTCCTCCAGCACCTACAGCACAGGTCCCCACGCAGTCACCTCAGAGTCAAATCCCATCTATTCAATATGCAGATTCTAACTACTCACCACCTGTGCCAAATCCGCAGCCCACACCTCAGATGTACTACAGCTCTCAAGTACAGCATTCGCAACCGCCACCCACTGCACCTTATCAACTTTTTCCATCAGCACCACATCCTTCACTAACCTCACAATCGCCGCAGCTGCCTCAACAGCACCCACCTTTCAATGCTGTTGATCACCAAGCCCAGTTTTCGTTGGTTCATAATCCTGGAGAAACCTCCATACCATCTCAAAGATATCCTCCAAGCTTCCACAACACCTCTAATGCACCTGGCTTGGCTCTCCCACCCCAACAACAGCAGTATGCGGGTTCCATGCAATATACGCATGATCAAACCGCAAGCAATCACAACCTGGAGTTTCCCCCTGGGCATGTGCAACCAGTTCAAAATTCACGTTTTGATGCTTTTCGTTCCCACGTTGGATCTTCATCTCACAACAGCGGTTCAAACATGAAACATTCGCAAGTCTCGCCAGCCTCTTTAGACCGTTCTGGTGGAAGCAGCTTTTCGAAACTGCCAACTGCCAAGGTATTGCCACACGCAATACCCATGGCTGCTAGTGTGGACAAGGAATCAAGTTCCAGTGGGACTGGAAACAGAATACCGATTGATAATGTCATTGATAAGGTTGTCGCGATGGGATTCCGGAGGGACATGGTCCGAGCAACAGTGAGGAAAATGACTGAGAATGGGCAGTCGGTGGACGTTAATGTTGTGCTGGATAAGCTGATGAACAATGGAGAACAGCCTCAAAATGGTGGATTTGGCCGGTAAGATATGCACTTGCTTTTGCTTGATTATGATGTATGAGTGTGATATTCAGCTACATGCTTAGTATTTCTATGTGCTTCTTGCATCCATGTGTAATTACCACCATTTGTTTCTGAATGTAAATATGAAATGACTGGTGACATTGAAATTTATTGTGTGTTGTATTTGTGAATGTAAATTTCACCAAACGTTTGCTTGGATGTTTTGTAATGGATTTTTCACCGGGAAATCGTTCAAACTTGGATTGATTTCGGCTGATTGAGTTGAATTTCAAATGTTACTTGTATAATTGTATTAAAGGTTTAAGTCGTGATCGAGTGACAAAATATTAGAATGTGAGCATCCAACTCAAAATCAACCGGTGGATCCCCCCGAAACCGATTGGTTTTGCCATGGACACGCATGTAGCCTATATCTTAGGGTGGGCAGGCGTAGCTTGGGATTATTCAAATGGACCTGAACTGGAAAGGAACACTCAGAAGCTTTGAAAGGAGTGACAGCTGGGCTTTTTTCATTCACAAAGCTGTGCAGACTTTAGGGGCGTGCTAGACTGGTTGCTGGTGATAGAGATTCCCTTGCCGTCACACACATTTGTTACTTTTTTATCATTAATTTTCTTTAATTCATTTGATCTGACGGTCAAAAATTAAGAATGATATGTGAGAAGTAAAAAAATAGATATGGATGGCACTATCCGAAAAAGAAAGAGAAAAACTTACCTATCACATATTTATGCGAAAAATCCTGCTTTCTTTTAACATAACTCTTGGCAGAAGTAATTGAGATGTCTTTGTCGTTACACTTTTACTTTTGACCATCCATTTTTACAATTTGCGCTTATTAAATAGAAAAATTCAAGGGTAGTGTTATCCATACACATATTTTTACTTCTCATACACTCTTCTTAATTTTTGCCGTCGGATGGAATGAATTACAGAAGATCCACGGTAAAAAAAACAACAAAGGTGTGTGAGAGGTAAAAATGAGTGTGAATAACACTCTCTCTTATCACTTAAGCCAGTCATTGCTGTTACACTTCTACCTCTGACCATCCATTTTCCCAACTTGCGCTTAGTAAAGAGAAAAGGTTACCTGTTACATGTTCATGTAGTTCCTCTCTCTTATCTAGCGAGTCATGTGATAAGAAAGACTAAAAGAGAGGTTAGATAGGACAAGGATTGTCTGCCCTCCTTGTTTCCGTGCATTCTCATGCCCTCCTATTTGTGTGGTCACGGTTAAGTCACGTCAACATTTTATATTACTATTTATTTTTGTCTTATTATCTTTATAAAAAAATAATATAAAATGTTGACGTGGCTTAACCGTGACCACACAAAACAGGAGGGCACGGAAGGACATGAGAACAAGGAGGGCAGACAATCCTTGTCCGGTTAGATAAACCTAGGTTCATGTAACCCATCTCTTATCACAGGAGCTATGTGATAAGAGAAACTTATTTGAGTTTAATGAAACCTTGCATGTAATTCTTTCTTCTTATCAAGAATAAAAGTCTCAATTGGTTTACATATTTATTCTTAAGAACAAATAGTCCTCACTGAAACCTTTTTTTTTTCTTTTTTTCTTTCTCTCATGTATCTTAAATTCTTAATCATTGATGCACATTCCTCTATCTATCTTGAAGAAGGACCATGTCCTTAATTGCTAGAAAATGGAGAGGTTTTCAAATTTTCATGGCTAGAAAAATAGGACCACAATTTGGTATAGGGGGAAAAAAAGATAGTGACCAGAGACTTGATTGCAAAGAGGGTGAGTCTGTTCATGTGGACTAGGAAGGAAGGAGGGTTTTGTTTTCAATCTTTCATTCCATTTGGGAGGAGGAGGAGGAGATTTTTTTTGTTAGATTAGATTAGATTACAATGACTGAGCTCTCAGTAACATAAATAGTAATGGTCCCAAGACTAATAGGCACAAAATAGTCTTCCTTATTTATTTATTTTTTAATTTGATGGCGCAATCACGACAGTTCACCATTTCGGGGGTCAGGAAAATTCACAAAAGAATTTTAGCCTCTATCTGGCCATCATCGTGTGATTCACCAGCACTAAGAATAAAACTTGAGGCGAGTTGTGTGAAATATGAGTTTGAAATTTGCTCCAATCACTGAGCCACTCCTTGATTGTGCTGATTTTGTGGACCCTTTAAAATAAGCTAATAAGTGAGAGAGAGGTCCATTCCCTCTTGTACTCCAGGAATATATGTGACTCATCCCTTTCCATCTATATTTTGTCCAAAACCAACAAATGAAATTTGTTTCATCTACCACCACCACCCTTGTAAGTTATAACGCCTTATATCTTCTTTTCAAGGTATTAATGTGGAAGTTTTGGGATTGAAGGACTTTAAGGTAAAAAATTGGTTTGGTTGTGTAACCTATACATGTATTTTAATAGGGTTGTCTTGTCACATCGCTACAGATAAAAATAAGGTGATACATTATAAATTTAGGGTATCCATAAATAAATTTATGTAATATAACATGAATGGATCGATAATATCACGTAACAGTACGACAATCACACTAAAAATTGCGTTTGTTGTGACCCACAAATCTTTATTGCAAATTGCACAAACATATCCAGACTCATGTTTTAGTGTGAATGTACTATCTCTGTTATTTGTCATTAAAACTTTAGTCAAAATATATCATTTGCATTTTGCAATGCAAGCGAACTTTTTTTTTCAAGACTACTTTTACAATAATTCAATCGACTAAAGCTCGTGAGACACATCTTTTACTTCAACAAAGACAAGTTGTAGTCAACAAAATTCTTACCCCAAATCGGTTAAGGGTCGTGAACTACCGAAGATATGCATGCAACAAATTCTTGCTCGCGCAACACCTAATGAGTTTTGATGAACTTTCTAACGGAGATTAAAAGATGTGATGCATCCACACTAAGGGCGTGTTTACATATAGGGAAGGGATATGGCGGAATGGGAGTCATTCCCCATTCCTGACTATTCCTTCGTTTACCAACTTAAGCAGGAATGAACAGTTCTGCGAGCCCCACATAAAATAAGGAATTCAATTCCTGATATTGTTGGAATTGGATTACTTAGAAGAAGGTAGTATTTGGATTCCAGGGAAAATGCTCCATCCGGAATCAAATTTTCCTTCCCAAAATACCCTGCACCTTTAGTACTCATTTCCAACTTCCGCCATTCGATCTCCAACAATTCTTTGCTCATCCGCCACCTCCTCTCGCTCCGCCACCTCAAAATCCTCCACACATTTAGTTCTTCCCACATTTTCTCAGCAACCATACAACAGAAATTGAAACCAATTCATGAAATGCCAACACCCAATTCAAACACTGAATAGTTTCATGGTTTGGAGCTTGGATTACTACCCAAACTACATTATTCAGCAATCCAAATAGAGCCTAAGTAAGAAAATCCAGAAGCAATCAAAGCTACATATTGCAGATTACCTCTCATTCCGTTCCTAAGTGTTATTCATCTGAGCTCTGTAGTGGTTCTCTATGAACTGCTTGGCCGCCGCCACCTTCTCCATCGTCAAGCTCGACCCCATCACCTGCTCCTCTCGATCCTCTATTCTTTCTCTCTCTTCACTCTCACGGTATCGTCTTTTTCAATTTGGGGCTCGGCTGCTATTCAACCCAACAAACCCATCATTCCATGCGCTTCACCTTCATCTCTGCGCCACACCTTCCACCTCCCTATGTAGCCATGCCTTACTCCCCTGCCACTGCCTCACAAAACTCAACCACATATCCCCCAAATCGGATTCAATAATTTATCAACCAAAACCCATAAAATCTTGAAATTGAAATACCTGGCAGGGAGGAGGGTTGGTGATTATGGGGTAGGGTGAGTGGGAAAGATGAAAGCGAGGGGAAAAGGGGATGGAGGAGTTCTTATTTTCTGCTGGGGAAGTCTGATAGATGAAGGTTTACAATAATGACATTTTGTGAAAATGTCATTAAAAAAAATGGGAAAGAAATAAAACAAAAAGAATAAGGACATTTTAGTTTCATTTCGTAAACAACTTATATGAATTTCGTTTCATTTTTACTCTGATTCCAGAACATTTAAGTGAACAGCTTCAACAGGAATCCGATTCTGATTCATCCTCAATTCAATTCCTCATCAATCCAATTCCTCTATTTTGATTGCGGTTACGTAAATGAGCCCTAAAGGTGAAGTGTATGCGGTAAATTAGCAACATTTTTCACTTAAATTTTTTTACGCCATTTCCCGAAGGTTGGTCAACCAATTTTCAGGCCAGTTCGTGATATTTTCTTGCATAATTTTGCTAATTCTTGCATTCCAATTATTAAATTATTCTCTGGCATTGAAAATACTTTAAACTAATCAACTTTATTCAATTTCTATCTCATGTAGTAAGTAAAACTAAACTACTATTAACAAAATTGTTTGATTTCAATTCATTCTCATTAATAGATTTTTAAAAAGTTTTCTTCTTGTTCAAATTATCGATTCTTAGTACGTAAGCATGACATAAGTTAGCCATGTAATTTTATTTTCCAGATACTTTCAATTGACAAACAAACAGTTAAAACATCCTTGTAACCTGTTATTGAACACATTCTACGCAGTTTATATATATATTTTTTAATTAGGCTATTGACAAAATTCGTTATAATCCATTACACACATACGTCAACATCGGTACACTAATATATTGTTGAATTTGAATATGTTTTGTAAATTAGTTATCGACAAATAAATGGTTAAAAATCGTGATAACTTGTTAAACAAATAAGTCAGAATCCACTCGTAATTATTTTTCATTAGATATAGAACACATCATTTAACTCAAATAATCCGAAAACATAATACGACCAGAAGATAACTTTTTCGGATCGCAAAGTACAATATTTTTTTGTAAGAGTTGTCCATTCCTTATATAACACAATGATACTATACGGTTATGCTATATGATTATGCTATGTAATATAAGAACCCATGATTTGTAGATAAATTAATCCTTGTAAAACATTTTAAACATGGAAAATTCATTAGTCTATGCAAACATAAAGACCCACTTAAATAAAATCTAAAAAGATACAACAAAAGAAAGAAAACAAGAAAAAGATAATGCACCATTTCACTTTCAAACAGAATTACCAAAAGAGAAATACAAGATTTTTTCAAAAGTGAGACCCATAGACTTTATGTTAGGCTTATTATATTAGCACCCCACAAATTGTTGAACAAATCTCACATACGAATACACCCTCACATTTACTTTTTCAATTAAAAATTCTTTTAATACACCCCACTTCCTTCCCCATAATACCCTCACACCCTACATTCTTAATATACACCTTACATTTTCTACATACACCCCACATTTTTTATATACCCCACATTTCTCAAATCTTATAACACTAATTTTTAATTTTGCTGAATGATTTCAAACTATCTGAACGTTAGTTTGCCGAATGATTTCAAATTGAATGCTTTGAAAAAATGTTTTGGTTCATTTGAACGTTTTTTCAATAACAATAATAATGATTTCAAAGCTTTCGAAACACCAGTTTCATGTTTCATTCGTCAAAAATAATTTTTCTCAATCAACATGTTTGTAGTTTCATTGCTTAGAGTTTTATTCAACAATGGAGGGTGGGAGGGATTTTTGATAGTTGAAGTAGATAAATAATACGTTAAAAGTGATTTTGGGTGTATTTATTATTTTTTTATTATTTTTTAAACCTAATAAGGTCAAAATTGTCATTGCATAGTAGAGTAAATAAGTCATTAATATTAAATTTTAATGTGATGTGCATTCAATATTTTGTGGGGTGCTAATATAAAAAATCTTATGTTATCCATTGTTTTGGCACAATATTTTAAAACATCGTAAAAAAAAAAAAACATTAAATTAATGACAAAAAATCTATAAAAAATCACACTCTGAGAAAGTCTCTGAATTTCTCTTAGTAAAAATTCCAAATGGACAAAATTTGGGTTACCAAATTTCCTCCGTCTCTGAGTGGTCACCATCTCTTCCTTCTTCTGTACCTCCCAGTCGAAATCATAACTCCAAAATTTTTACAACTCTAGCACCTCAAACTAATTAACAAAGCAGAATCAAAAGCAAAAGTCTCCAAATCAAATCAAATAAAAAATTGAAAAAATGAAAAATCAGAAAATAAAAAAGAAGGGCAGGTTAAAGCAAACAGAAAGATGGAGACAGAGCATGTAGTAACAGCAGCTTTTCGAATTCCTTATTAACCCCCCGTGCATCTATATATATAACTCCCATATATCTATCTATCTGTATATACATATATATACGCACTCGCACACATGGAAATATATGAATCTGGTCTTATTGGGTTTTCATTATCTTCGAGATCTAGCATCGGAAACCTGCGATTTTCCTGGAAAATCGTTCTGGGATTTCTCGTTTCCTGAGAAAAAATCCGGTCGGAAGTTTTTTCAACTCACCCATTTCATCAGCTTTTCAGTAAAAGTTTCAACCTTTGAAGCCCGCGAGTTTGATTAAAGTTTTCAGAGTCCTTCCAAATCTTCAAAAACATCCTTCTTTGTTGATTCATCTCTTCTGTTTGATTTGAAGTGCAGGGGTGTCTGAGCTTCAATCTTCACCGTCCATCTGGCGATCAAACTTGGTTTTCATCATCTGGGTTCTGCTATAAATCCGCCCTCCAGTGTTTGAGTTCTTCACATTCAGTCGCTCACTCACTCTGGTTTGTTTCTCGGTCCTCCAATTTCTTTGTTTTTGCAAAAATGGCCAACTTTCTGGGGATTTTCACAGTGAGGAACTTGCTTGGGCTGTCACTGGCTCTTAATCTGAGCTTGGTTCTGAGGGTGGTTTACGAGAGCGGGAAGGATGGAGGCCCACATGGGTTCTCTGTGGAGGAGCAGAGAGGGCCGTCAATGGCGGACATGGGTTTTGGGAAGGAAGCTCAGGCGACGCAGAGGACGCGTCTGTCCGCTTCTTCTTCTGGCCAAGATGTCATGGACAAAGTTATCAACCTCGACCAGTAAGTGCTTCAACGCTTGTTTTGTTTTTTTCTTAATTTTTGATTTGTTTTCAATTATATCATCTAATCCTCCCATTAAGATTTCTTCAGTTTAAAAGTTCGAAGTGATATTTACATACCTATTTTTTTTCTTGTGCATAATTCTATTTAATAGCGAAATTTCGTAATAAAGAACTGGTTTAACTCGCGTCAAATTTCTTCGAGTATACGAGCTCCATTGAGTCGTCAAGGTATTTAATTAAGTAAACCATTAAAATTAGCTCAAAACCAGGGCCAAAATTGTCTTTTGAATTTTGTGTAAAATGGGAGGCACAGGAAGTGTCAGGCAAAGCAAGGTGTGATGGCATGTGAAATTTAATAAAGGAGGTCAAAATAATGGAATATTATGTCATAAACTTCACTTGACGTCAGTGATATTTTTGCAAAAAAATCCCTCAAACATTACCGATTTTCTGTTTTTGACTAAAATATTTATTGTTTTCCTCAGTTTTCTGATTAATTTTGAGGAAACTAATGAAAAGGGTTTGAAAACTTTAAGTTTTAATGATAAAGACAAAATAAATAGTAAAGTAAATAGTACCATGATTAATTTTTTAGGTGTAAAAATATGATTTTTCGTTAAAATAAATAATTCCGGTCATTTTCGTTAAAATTCTTTTAATTTTGTGTACTGTTTACTGTGCTGACTATTTAGGGCTAGGATAGGGGAAGGTAGGAGAGATCCTTGTTTAGGGTTGAGATTTTCCATGGCGCATGTTTGAGCTGGCCAACCCTTCTGTACTCAATGACTGTTTTTCCATCGTTCATTTTCCTGTTCCCAAGCAATTCTAACATGCACTATAGATGAGAGTAACTGAACCTTTGACCAACAACATCATTGTGTCACATAAACTTGTATGCATCACAAATTGTCGGGATGCCTTTGTGTCGGTATCTCAAATTAATCGAGTACTGTTATATATTTTAGGGTAAATTATGTTTTACTCTTTCAAGTTTTGGTGCAATTACAATCTCATACAATATCTTTAAAACATTTCAATCCCATACATTTAGTATTTTTTTAATTTCAATTTCATACAACCGTTAAATTTTTTTTAAAATTAAACGTGATGATGTGACAAATATGAAGTTCTCATTTGTGCTAACGTTGTTGCCACATTTGTGCCACGTGACTAAACATTTAATATAAAAAAATTAATAAAGTAAAAAAAAAAAAAAAAGAAGCAAAAATCCCCTTCATCTTTCCCACCCAAGTCCACCCCCTTATCCCATCCCCCATCACCCACCCCTTCCCCCATTAATTATGAACTCCTCAAATAAATAAAAAACCAAAAAACCTAACTTTCCCGTCAAAACACCAACTTTCCCTAACCTTCGCCGTCGTCGTATGGTTTTCTAGCAATTCGACCTTCTCCTTCGACCACCCTTATCCACCCACCAAGCTCATGTTCGATTGCATTGACATCAAGCCTCCTCGAATCAGAACTTCTAGCATCGACACCAAGCCGAGCCGGATTTGCACCACAGAGTCGCATCCTGCCGTCGCTGCTGCTTGAAATCGGACCCACCTTATGCAATTTCTTTGTGATAGGCAATGGGTGGTTGCAACGTGCGACTTGGGGTGGGAAAGATTTGGGGCTAAGGGTTGGTGATGGTAGAAGGAAGATGAAGAAAAGTACTCATGATTAGAGAAATGTGCATAAGTGATGGGGAAGGGAGTGGATCAGCCTGCGACCTGGGGTGGGGAAATTTTGGGGCAAATGATTGGTGATAAGAGAAGGAAGATGAAGGAGATTTTCGGTTAGAGAAAGGTGTATAAGTGATAGGGGAAAAGGGTGGAGCCGTGGAGGGGATGGAGGGGTGGCTAGGGTATGGAAGATGAAGAGGGGGCTTCTGTTTTTTTCTTTAATTAATTATTTTAACATTTTAATTTTTTTATTAAGTGTTAGAATCTAAAGGTTTTCGCCTAAGTCGGTCAAAGACAGAATATATGGAGTGCAAGTTCAGTGTAAACGGAGGCTCAAATGAATTAGGGGCAAGGATTGAAGATTAGGAAGTACCGACAGCTTTCGCTACCTAGGATCTACCTTGCAAAAGAACATAGAGTTTGATGGAGACCTCAACTATAGAATACAAGCTGAATGGATGAAGTGGAAGAGTGCATCCGACGTGTTGTGTGACTGTCGTATGTCATTGAAACTCAAAGGAAAATTTTATAGGATGGCAATAAGGCCATCAATGCTTTATGGCACGGAATGTTGTGCGGTAAAACATCAACACATATATAAAATGAGTAGCGGAGATGAGAATACTTTGTTGGATGTATGGGCACACGAGAAATGATAAGATTAGGAATGAGGATATCCGAGGTAAAGTAGGAATAGCTGAAATTAAAGGAAAGATGAGAGAAAATCGGTTACGGTGGTTTGGACATGCGAAACGAAGACCTACTGATACTTCGGTTATAAGATGCGATTACGGGACAAATGTTTATGGCCGAAGGGGTTGAGGAAGACCTAAGAAGACTTTGGAATAGGCTATAAGAAAATACTTAGAGTACTTAGATCTAACGAAAGACGTAACACATAATCGAGCGTAATGGTTTTCTAGGATTCATATAGCCGACCTCACTTAGTGGGAAAAGACTTTGTTGTTGTTTAGCCATGTGGCACAAATGTGGCAACCACGTCAACACAAATGGAGATCCTATATTTGCCACGTCATCACTTAACGGTTAGCTTAACAGATTTTTTAACGGTTGTATGAAATTGAAATAAAATAATACTAAATGTATAAGGTTGAAATGTTTTAAAGATGTACGAAATTGTAATTGCACCGAAATCTGAAGGGATAAAATGTAATTTACCCTATATTTTAACTCTTTAAATGACATGTATGAGTGAATTGAAATACCGCTTCAATAGTTTTCACTCCCAAAAAAGTTTGAGAGTTTATAGTAAAGATGTTAAGAGTAAATTGTAGCAATGGTCCCTCAACTAAAAATCCATTACCATTGGTCTATCAACCCATCAAAATGTGTAGTTATGGTTATTTTCGTTAACTTCGTAAAATTTTTGTCAAAATGAGTTATGTTGGAAGGACCATTGTTGTGGATGCAAATTTCTGCATTCTTCTTCTTGGATGAAATTGCACCTGCAAAACAATTAACACTTGAGGTCAAAGTGAAGAGCCTTACACACCCACGATGAATTGGGGGAGGGGGCTTTGGCTGAAGAACCTCCGATGTCAAAGTTAGAATTTGAGAGAAAAAGTGTTTAGAGAATTTTAGGATAAGAATGGACTTAGGTTTTTGGAGAAATGAGGTGATATTTATAGGGGTGTGGCCGCCCCCTTTGGAGAGATGGGAACCGGCCACATATGGTGGTTTTTGGGTGTAATTGCAAGATATTATGTCAAAATAATATCTTGCAATTAATTATGAAATTAATTAATTAATTAGGAAATTAATCAATTAATCAATTAATTTAGGTAATTAATCTTAGGGTAAATTACATAGTACCCCCTCATGTTTGAGATCTATTACAACCTTATACAACATCTTTAAAACATTTCAATTTCATATATTTGCTTATCATTGTATTTAAATTTTATATATCCGTTAGAAAATCCATTAAGTAAACCGTTAAGTGATGACGTGACAAATATGAGGTGTTGATGCGGTTGCCAACTTTGCATCAAGTAAATAAAAAATAATAAAAAAAGGATTAGTTATTTAAAAAACCATTTTTAATAATTAAAAACTTTAAAAATGAAAAAGAGGATCTAGGGTGAAGGATTTTGGCCTTCTTCGTCCCCAATACCACCACCACAACCCGACGAAAAAAGAGGTTGTGATGGGGCACCACCAATTTTAGCCCCAACGCCTCGATTTCGTCCGACGAGGTGGATGTGGACAATCTCCATGCCTCGATGTTCCTGCGTTGAAGCTTTGTGCGGTTTGTTACTAACGAGGTTGCGTCAGACTCGCCAAAGAATTTTGTCAAAATGAGTTATATTGGGAGGACCATTACCTCAATTGGGTTCAAGTTGAGGGACCATTGTTCTAATTGGATTCTAGTTGAGGAATCATTTCTCCAGTTGGATTAAAGTTGAATGACCAATGATAATGAATTTTTAGTTGAGGGAGCATTGTTCTAATTGAGTTAAAATTAAGAGACTATTACTATAATTTACTCAAGATGCCAAAGTTGGAGTCCCCTATGTGCATGTTTTTTATGGCAACTTTTACCCGAAGTGCGTGTTAGCATGAGGCACTACATGGGGCTTTTAGATGCACACCTGTTTAATGGCCTTCTGCGAAGTGCAGAAATGACTAAAGTGCGCCCTGGGCTGTCTGAGATCTTCAAAACTTTTAGCCGTCCAAGTTGTAAAATTAGCTTTTCATGATCTTTCTTTTTGGTCCCCCCCATGTCGAGATTCTCTGGATCTTACCGCCCTGTGGGACCCACAAAAGATTTAACCCCTCTTAGAATGGTCTGATGTTTGATGGGTATCCATCTAGTCATCGATCTGCTGATAGAGTGGGACCCACCTTGCCCCATACCATACCTACCTCCATGGCTCCATGCAATTTTAGGGAATCTCATTACTGTGTGACAGATTTTTTTTTTTTTCCGGATTTTATGTTTTGTGAGGACAGATTCGACCGTGTAACCGCCGTAGTATCTTCTCTTTTTATCTACCTCGTCACGCGACAGTGGTATCGTATTTTTTTTGCTTTTAACATGTTATGTTTTTTTTACTGTGTTGGTGAATGCAGCGGTGACCCTACTATGTATGAAAATTACTGGCAGCGGATGGGTGAAAGAACCACAGTTGTGATCTCTGGGTGGCAGTCTATGAGCTATTTCTCAGATGTCAAAAACCCTTGCTGGTTTTTGGAGCCGGAGTTTGCCAAACAAGTTGTGAGACTACACAATGTGGTCGGCAACGCCGTCACCAACGGCCGCCAAATCGTGGTCGGGACGGGTTCATCCCAGCTGTTTTTAGCCGCCCTCTATGCCCTAGCTCCCAAAGATGGATCTGAGCCAATGAGTGTGGTGTCGGCCGCCCCATACTACTCGGTAAGCTTGATATTTTGGGTTTAACTTTAATCCTTTTTTGTTTAGTTTAATTATATTTAGTGCTTTAAAGTTATAGATTTTTGAATATTTTAAGGTCACTAGTTTACTTACCAACAAATCAAGGCAAAGTCAAATGCATTATGCATCAGTGATGAAACCACATGTTTTATTCTCCTAATTTTGTATTTGTTTATCTAATCACTATGCTTGGTGGACATGCTTTTTTTTCAATGGCGTCTACTTTAATTAGAAAATTGATTAACATAAGTCAGATATTTACACCGATGGCGTCATCTTGCTTAATCTCTTGGCTTTTCATGCATGATAAAGAACATCTACACGTAATTGGTTATGAGAGGTCAAATCTTCTTTAACTCATTTTGTGTGGTCTCTTTGTGCCCTTATCATTGATCGACATGTGTAAGTTGAGGATTACCATATGTCAAGCAATAATAGAAATCACAGAGATATCACATACAAAAATAAGTGCAAAAGATTTGAACCCTAGTTACGAGCATTAACCCTGGGAAGCCTCGAGATTCACGTGTGTGACATTAATAATGTGGCATTTAATTTGCCTGCCTTGCTTCTGAAGCTTTTGAATTTTGGTATCTCAATTATTTATCCTTGTACCCCCCCCCCCCCTCTCATAATTTTCACTACATCTTTCGTCTCCCTTCCTGGCTCGTCCCTATTTATCCTGTCCTGCACACATAAAATATGTCCAAGCATGTGCCCATTCGGACAGATCAAATAAGTAAGAAAATATATATCTAAGCCTTCATAAATTAACTCAAATATTCTACTTTATATTATTACTTCAATCATAATTCATGGAGTAACGAATTAAAAAAAAAAAAAAAAAATTTACACGTCACGTTATACAGTCTACTCTCTTATCAAATTCGTAACATTTCGGCGTGCCTAGTCCTAGCGAAGATCACGCTTCATTTTTTCTTGGAAACTAGGAAGATAGTTCATCGCGTGATGGCGATAATTTGAACTTGCATTCTTTGCTTGCTCGTCTGTAAATGTGTGTATGATGTTGTGTGTTTTAAGGTGGCTATTGATGGTTTCTTTGCAGTCATACCCCTCTATGACGGACTGCTTGAAGTCCGGCTTGTACAAGTGGGCCGGTGATGCCCGACGCTTCAGCAAAGAGGGACCTTATATAGAGCTAGTGACCTCCCCAAACAACCCTGATGGATTCGTCAGGCATTCCATGGTCAATCGAACGGGGGGTATATTGGTTCACGACTTGGCCTACTACTGGCCACAGTATACCCCGATTTCTTCTCCTGCGGACCATGATCTGACACTGTTCACCGTCTCCAAAGCCACTGGCCATGCCGGGACTCGCATTGGGTAAGCTTGATACTGATCACAGAGTCTTAGTTCTTGTGTCTTGGTTGTGTTGCTCTGCCAACACTACTTGCATTACGAAAAATGATCTCTGATTTGAATTTTTCTTCCAGGTGGGCTCTTGTTAAAGATCCTGAAGTTGCAAAGAAGATGATCAAATTCATAGAGCTCAACACCATTGGCGTGTCCAGGGATTCACAGCTCCGAGCTGCCAAGATTTTAGAGGTGATGACCAACACCTCTGAAAACGTCGGCCGCATTGGTTCCTATGAATCCTTTTTCTGGATTAGCTACCACCTCATGGCAGAGAGGTGGCAGCTACTTAGGGCGGCGGTGAACAGGAGCAGAGTGTTTAGTCTGCCCGACTTTACACCAGGGTTCTGCCACTTCCTCAACCAGGACTCCCAGCCTCAACCTGGTAAGTGAAAAATCACGAAATGATTTGTTAAGAGTCATTATACATAACTGTGTAAACATTTTTGAAGCTGTTAAGCTGACTCTACTGTTAACCAATTTGCAGCTTTCGCGTGGCTAAAATGTGAGGACGATCGCGTGGAAGATTGCGAAAGCTTCCTAAGAGGCTACAAGATGTTAACAAGAGGAGGAAGGCACTTTGGAGTTGGTCCAAAGTACGTCCGCATAAGCATGGTGGATCGGGACAACAATTTCAACTTATTTGTGAAGCGACTGTCTGTGATTCAGTCATGACAGCGGATCGCTACGCTCTTCCCCTAAATGTTCTTTCGACCGAGAGTGGACCGTGAGCTGTTGCAGAGGAAGGAGAGGGAGTGTCACATATTCGTTCATATGTAGAGTAGTAATGAAAAGTAATACAATCTGTATCCATCTATTTTAAATGATATGATTTTTCAACGAAATTTATGAGAGTCCAAATCCATCCAACCCTCGAGAATGAAATTTTCGGATGAAATTTGCAGAAACACTTGAGCAAGAAGTCCATGAATAATGAAATTTACAGTGCAACAAGTAAATGGGTGTACCTTCCAGCCAAGGAGGAGGTTGTAGCTCCTTAGGTGCCCACCATTAGAGCAGCATTCCCACTTCTCCCATGCCACTCATTTCTACAACCCTAATTTCAACTCTCTCAAGTTTTCCTCTCTCTTTAGGCTTTTCCTTCCCTCTCTTTCTCCTCGTCTTCCTCCCCCTAAAACCTAGAAACTGACTCAGAAGTTCTAAATTGGTAACCATGACCAAAGGAGGGAGATATGAAACAATATATGAGTAACTTTAATGTATCCGAACAAGAGGAGGTTCGGGAGGTATTTACAGGAAAATTTGGAATCAACAATCAACTAAGACGGAGTTCACTAGTTTCACGTGAAATCAGAAATAACGCATGTTTTGTAGGAGTTTTGAGACTCCTATTGTCCCATGTCGGGAAACATTGAATTGTCAATGGCCTTTATATAGGTCTAGTCCTTTATATTAACAGTTAAGATTTGGACCATTTGGAAATGAATTGAAGGCTTGGGCTTTATAGTTGTGGGATTAGGGTGCTATAATATAGTAGTTAATATTAATTAATCAAGACAAGAGCTTCGGAAGTTAAAATTAATCATAATTTTAATTTTGGATTAAGTTTTTAATTAATTTATTAATTAAAAAAAACGTTTTGATCAAGAGACACAACTCTGTGTATTTTCAAATACGCTGAACATGTATTTGAAAGGGTGTGAAACAACCTATATATATGCAATCAAGGGCGAAGCTACAGAGGAGCAAGGAGGGGCGTCCGCCCCTCCCCTCGCCGGAAATCTAGCCTTGGACTCGCCCCTCTGGTCCCGCCGGAAATGATGAAATGCTGTTTGTTTATGGGTTTTCCCTGCTGCTGCACGCAGGGTTCTAATTCTTTTTAAAAAAACTAGGCCAGAAAGCGAAGGCGTTTTGGTCCTGCTTGAAAAAAAATTAAAAAATCCTTCCTTTAGTGGGACGACGCCGTTCTGTTATTGAGTTAAAGAAAAAATAAATTATTTAAACGGGGACCAGTCATCACTCGTATCCCCTCTTTTCCTTTTTAATTTGGGTCCGCCACATGTCGGTTTTAACTCCACCATATTCTATTTTGCTGACTTTTTGTTTGTATTATCTTTTTTTTAACGTTTTAATTTCCTCATCATTTTCTCTATTCCACCATCTTCCTCTTTCTCAATTGTATTCCATATAAAAATATTTACCTAAAACTCCCAAATAGCAGGTCTTAGGTTCGATTATCGTCAAAAACAAATCTAAACCATTTTATTATGGCTAGCCCAATGTGAAGTGTAGCTAATTCCCCCTTAAGATAAATAATATTGTTTGTTAATAAATAAAAAACTCCCAAATAACGTGTAAACATTTTGTTATCCTTTTTTTTTTTAAAAATAACATAAGTATGGTTCAATGTTTATTTATAGATTATAGTACATTTATTAAGTGCAATATGTACTTATTTATATGATACATAATAAATTTACATAAATCCGCTTAAGCCTAGACTAAATTCCAGCCTGCCGCCCTGCTAGTGTCTAGTGTCTTTTAAAACCTTGGTTTGTATTGATAAATTATGAACGGCGTTAATATTGTCTACTCCGATTTGGTTGTCTACATTTTTGAGATATTTTACCTTTTTAAGTTTCGCCCCTCCCCTTGACGATTTCTGGCTTCGCCACTGTCTGCAATCACAGTTTCCAAGTAAAATCATCTTTTCTTCATCTTTTCCTTCCGTACTAAATTTTCAGAGAGTAAACACACAAAACAATTCGTTAGAATTCTATAATCCAGTTTGGGTTGTAGAATTAGGTAGTTGTATCCTGGTCGAGCAGACGTTGTAGAACCACAGGCCCAAGAGTGGGATGGAAATATTGTTCGAAGGACATAACTATTGTGCTACCTTCTACCTTTCATTCAATCAAGTTAGTATCATTTTAATTTCTGTATTTATTTTGTTATTTCATTTTGTATTGCAAGAATATTTGTGTAATAAAATATAAGTATTTCAATTTCTGTATTTTTGTTATTTTTTTGTTTCTGAATTGTTCTCTAGCATGTTTAAACAAATTGTTCATCAGTTACCACAAAATAAAGAGTGCACGTTAATAGTTAAAAAATTAAATATTAATTGAAACAATTTTTTGATATAATTTCATTTGACTAAATATTCTAGATAATACCTTATAACGTACCTGATAAATATTTAAGGGAATTGTTATTAGCACTAAATAAATCTTATTCTACACTTATCACAAATGTATTTTTCTTTCTAATTATAAAAAATTAGAAGTGTAAAATGAGATGTTTAAAATGCCAATAACAATTTCCATATTTAATTTTGAGAAATTAATATTAAGCCATATAACTGATGAGATATTTAAATTTGGTCAACTAAAGACAATTTTTTAATCTAATTTTAGTGAATATAAAATGCATGTATTTACACAAAATTTAAGTAAATAAAAAACAAAATTATGTACGAACATGTCTTAGTTTGTACAGAAATAATCTAATGGCATCTTAATAAAAAAATGTAGAATTTTAAATAAAAGATCATATTTCAAAAAGAGAGAGAAAAAATACATAGGCATGTAAAAGCTTGACAATAAGTCCAATGAGAGATTAAAGTTGGGTACCAAATCAATGATGGAATCAAATTTGTTCAATTACAGACAAATAATCCACGGGTTTCACATGAAATTGCAGAGACGTTATAGTAACAGTTACTAAAATTAAGCCCTGATTAAATATAGCTTATGACATGTGTATTACTTGTCATGTCATTCTACGTGAACTATTATTTTTGTCAACTCACGTGATGTTAGTACTAAAATTGATTTAGCCACAAACAAAGCATTCAACAGTTTCACGTAAAATGACATAGGATATTACACATAGGCCTGGTAAACGAGTCGTGTCTGTCGTATTTATATTGTTTTCGTGTAACACCTGTTATCTTAACGGGTCGTGTCGTGTCACATCTGTTATCTTAACGAGTCCTTAACACGGATAAAGTAACCCGACCCATTATGACCCATTAAGAAAAATATATATTTTTTCTTAAATTTGCACATACCATAAATTGCCACATAAATATTACTTCAAAATATTAAAATACATTTGTCGTTTAAGTATTACATCTATACTCGAAAATAAAAGACTAATAAAAAAACATCCATACACTATTAGTCTATTACAAAATATTAAATGTGTAAGGATATGCAAAATGAAAGAGTTTTTGTTTTCAAGGTTGTGAAACCTTTCTCAAAAGTTTAAACCTTGCCAATGGAACTCAAAACTTGGATGTTATTCCTTTTACAAAATACTCAATTTTCATCGATCATCATGAGGAAATTGTATTGGAACTTGGACTTGATTTATTGCCTTCAAGAGTTATGTTGATGATGTTTTCAGTAAGGTTTTCCACATCATAACTCTCTTCCACATAAACGTATAGAAAAACATTAAAAACCATTCAAATTATGAGAAGTTTACCAAAATAATTATGAAAAGAAATAAAACAATAGTATTATACCATATAAAAATATATTAGCCTCCAACCTAATGCACAATGGACAGCTGAGATTAAATCTCAGCTGATCCAATGGTCAGCAATTTTTATAATTTAATTTAAGATATATATATATATATATATATATATAATTATTATAGTTGTTAGGGGTACAAAATTGTCAAATTAATATTGTTTAGGCCCAAAATAATAGTTTGGGCCGAGTATAGAATCATTCTCGGCCCGGAAGGCCTTGCGACAAGGATTCTATGGATCGTTCAGTACGTAGGCCTCCAAACCTAGGTCAGCTAGGTCATGACGTAAGACAGGTCGAGTCCTGGTGCAATAAGGAGTCTCGGCATGATTAATAACCCGAAAGCGAATCTGGGTCAATAAGGGACTAGGTTCACAATCATAATGAAAGTAGGATTGGTCGAGTCAGTGTTTGATCAGGAGAAGAAGTCCTAGTCCGAATAGGGTTTTAACTCGACCTTGGGGGATCTGTTGCTATAAATAGAAGAGGCTGTGCATCATTCAAAGCCCCTCCAATTCGATACACAACTGCCCTGCGCAAATTCTCTCAACAACTTTGAGATTTTTATTTTCTCTTTTCGCTGACACATCTTCCGTTGGCATCAACAGCATTGTGAAAGCAACCGGTGATATCTTAAGTCGGCATAGATAGCTCTGTCATCGTAGAATCAGTCGGTCTCGCAGTATCTTCCGTTGGCATCAACAACACTGCGGCGAGGACAATTGGTTATCTATCCCAGTCTCGGTCGAGAAGGATTTACGGATCCTTATTGATTGAGGTCATCTTCTTAGCCTTCTCGGCGAAGTGAGGTGTTACAGTTTATCGAGCTCGGCGCATTGCACGCCGAGTTATTTTATGATTGGATACTCCCAAGTGGGATTTAGAGTTCGGCATTCAGACGGCCGAACCACGTTCACTGTTAAGACTTATATTCGCTTTGAGTATTTGTGCCCTTACACTTTGGTGTCAATTCGGCGAGAGTTTACTCTAACGAATAACATCACTATGACTGAATCCGACGACGGCGATTTGTGAACTTCGTAAGAATAGTAACCTTGTCTTCAGGTTCGAGAGCCCAAGAGGCCGATACGTGTTCCTTTCTCGGCCGCAGTCGCGAGACGCAGAAGTCAGCCGCGCGCCCAACGTAACATCAGCAAATTTACTCTTCGACCGAGCTCGGCCGACGAGTTGACACGCCCCGCATTCACCAAAGGACGTAGTTAGCTTATAGACTACTTGGCCTGCGCGCCACGTAGGCTTGGTAGTTTTTAGGGTCAACATTTTGGCACGCCCAGTGGGACCCAGTGCTAAACTACGAAGTTCATGCCAATTGAAACACGATCGGTAAAAAAGAAAACAGC